AGGAGCAGTACCCTAAATGTGGAAGAAGATAGTATCGAAAACAACTGGATTAAAATAAGAGAAGTGGTGAGGAAGGCTGCGGAAGAGATATTGAAAGAAAGAAAGAAAGTAAATTTTATTCTGGGACATTTAGTCACCTCAGAATAACTATAATGAACAAAGAAATGACAACTGTCTGGCGATTATGAATAATTAAATGACAATTAAAAATAAATTAATTTACAAAATTGTCTAACCTTAATATTAAAATAAAGAAACATGTAAATTTTTTATAATATTAAAAATTCTTAATATTAAAAATAAAGACACTGTAGTAAACATATGATCTTGAAGTAGACATATGAATTTAAAGAAAAATACATACGGGTGAGTTCACGTATTTTTACAAATAAGCAATATGACATATACATAGATATTTGATGCAAGATATCAGTATAGTGTAGCTGACATCTCTATACAAATTAAATTTATTTTACATATATTCAGAAGATTGATTACTGAGGAGATGGAAAAATAAATTGTGTTTAAATGTTGTCAAGGATGAGGATTTCCGTATAGAGGTTGTTAGGAAATCTTGATGAGATCATGATGTGAAAGGAAGGAAACAGAATTCTGAGAGGAGGATAACAAGTTTTGTGGGGAATCGATTAGAAAAAAGTTGAGCCATGTGCTTGAGAACTGGGTATGGCGAGTAGGTTGAAGAGGAACGATAAATAGGTCAAGAGAATGGATTAAATCTATAAGGTATGATTTGTCAGGAGATTCTGAGGATAATTTGGTATTAAAGTCGCCAGCTATTATTATATTGTTGTATAAAGGAACGTAGATAAAAAGGGAGGATTCGAAGGCAGGATCAAATGGGACATGGGTAGGGAGATATGTAGTGAGGTAAAGGAGGGAAAAGGGATTTGAGGAAATTTCTACAAATAAATGGAAAGTCGCGAGAGGGAGATTTATGCAGGATTTTTGCCCTCAGACTCCCATGAACATAAAGGAGAACATCACCACTTGTTCGATCTATTCACTTATGACGGATGAGGGCATGGTTAGGAATGGATATGGAGGAAGAGGGAATATTAGGTTTGAGCCAGATTTTCGAAAACAGCAATAATATGATAAAAATTATGAAGGAAATAATCTTGGAATTCATCAAAGTGAGCTGAAAGGGATTGGGAGTTAACATGGCACATTAATAGGATATTAGTCATTTAAGGATAGAGAAGGATATAAATCTTGAATGTTTGAAAAGGAAAGGGACAATCGTAAATTAGTGAATTTGAGTTTCCACTATGTGAAATGCAGTAAAACGGAGAAATATGAGATAAATGATGATGAGATTTAACGAAACGAATAGTAATTGCAACTGAAAAAATTTAATGACTTTTCACACTAAAAAAGCAATAAATAAAATAATAAAGATATGCATAGAAGTAATGTGCAAATATGTAGAAAGATGAGTAAAAACATAATCTAAAAGAACCACTCTCTGAATATTTAGGCTAATAAAAGACATTAAATAAATAAAATAATTTTTTCATATTTAAGGCAATAATACTTCTAATAAAATAAAATAATATTCTTAAGAGAAATATAAAAAAAAAAAAAAAGACATAGTAAAGTTCTGGTGTCTACTAACAAAACATTTATTGGGGGGGGAGGGGGAAGAAATTACAGTTGGTTTGACAAGGAATGTAAAATGGCAGTACAAGAGAATACCAAAGCATATACAAGGATGCTACAAAGAAATACAAGACAGGCCACTGACGATTACAAACAGAAAAGGGATATAGTCAAGCAGCTCTGTAGAATTAATAAGAGAAAAAAAACAAAAAAGAAGAACTGGAGAGAATGGTGGAGGATTTCAACAACAAAAATAACAGAGCCTTCTATGGCAAAGTGAGGATTATAAGAAAAGGGTTTCAACCTCAAACCTGTTTTTGTAAAGGTAAAGACAATCAACTCTTGGCAGGCAAAGAGGAAGTAATAGAAAGATAGAGTGATTACTTCCGAAATATGCTATGCTCTAATCCAAACGAGGAAAAAATGGCTTGGGTACCAGAAATGATGGAGGAAGCAATAGAGCTGGAACCTCCAGATCCTGAAGAAGTAGAGGAAATAATTCTGAATCTAAAAAACAACACAGTATTAGGAATTGATGTGATCCCAGCAGAAGCATTCAAACTAGGAGGAGAGGCACTGCACAAGGAAATATATGAATTGATATCGGACATTTGGATGAAGGAGGAAATGCTAAAAGAATGGAAGGTGACTGTTGTTCTACAAATTCATAATAAAGGGGACAGACTGGATTGCCAAAACTATAGAGGCATTTCGTTATTGTGCACAGTGTACAAGGTTCTATCAACATTGCTGATGAAACGGATTGTGGAGAGAGCCGGAGAAGTGTTAGGGGACTACCAATGTGGATTTTGCTCCAAAAAGAGCAGGACTGGTCATAAATAAAGACAAAACTAAATATGTGTTAACAAAGAGGGAGATGAAAGGCACTAGATATATCGAGGGAGCTGGAAATTGTTTCGAAAGAGTACCACAATTTAGGTATCTAGGCACTGTTATCACTGAGAATAACAACATAGAGAAAAAATAAATGCAAGGATCACAGCTGGTAATAAGTGTTATTGTTCCAAAGAAAAATATTTCGAAATCGTGAAATACAAATAGTTCTCAAAATAAGAGTATATAAGACTGTCCTGCAACCAGTTGTTATATATGGAAGCAAGTGCTGGACACTCACACTCAACGAAGAGGGGCGATTGAACAGGTGGGAAAAAAAAATCCTTCACAGAATTTATGGCCCAACCAAAGAAGGGAATCTTTGGCGTATGAAAACAAATGAAGAAGTAAAGAAGCTATATAATGCCCCAGATATTATATCCACCATAAAGAGGGGAAGGATAAGATGGTCATATACAAAGAATGGAGCATAGTAGGCCTCCTAAAATGATGATAGAGTGACATTCGGGTGAAAGAAGGAAAAGAGTCAGGCCTAGACTTCCGCTGGCTGGGTGTAGGCAGATGGAGAAGGGCGGCCGAAGACAGGTCTATTTGGAGGAAGCTAGTAGAGGAGGCTGAGGTTCTACAAGAATCATAGCGCCATCGGATGATGATGACTTTTTGAGATTACGCCACTGCTTTTTACTTTTGAGTTTTTCGAATTTATTTCATATGAAGGTCTATTTATAAGTTCTTGGAGCTGCAGTTTTTGAAAATGATGTCCATTTTGAAATTACGCCACTGCGTTGCGACTTTTTTGAGTTTTTCGGACTTCTTTCATTTGAGGGTCTATTTATATGTTCTCAGAGCCACAGTTTTTGAAACTGATGTCCATTTTGAGATTATGCCACTACATTGCCACTCTTTTGAGTTTTTCGAATTTCTTCCATATGAAGGTATATTTATAAGTTCTTGGAGCCGCAGTTTTTGAAAATGATGTCCATTATGAAATTACGCCACTGCGTTAAGATTTATTTGAGTTTTTCGGATTTCTTTCATATGAGGGTCTATTTATATATTTTTGGAGCCATAGATTTTGAAAACTCAAATAAGTCAAAACGCAGCAGCCTAATCTCAAAATAGACATTATTTTCAAAATCTACAGCTCCAAAAACATATAAATAGATCCTCATATGAAAGAAATCTGACAAACTCAAATAAGTCAAAACGCAGTGGCATAATCTCAAAATGGACATCATTTTCAAAAACTACGCCTCTGAAAACATATAAATCGACACTTATATCAAAGAAATAAAATAACTCAAATAAGCCACAACGCAGTGTCGTAATCCTAAAATATAGATCTTTTTAAAAAACTGTGGCTCCAAAAACATATAATTCGACCCGGATATCGAAGAAATATAAAAAAATCAAATAAGTCATAACGCATTTTACGTAATCCTAAAATGAAGATCATTTTCAAAAACTGTGGCCCCTAAAACATAGGAGAAGTCCTTAAAATTACAAAAACTTTATTCGAATTGTTTTTTTATCTTAAATAACGAATAATAGATAATAGACAATGCATATTATCTGTAAATAACAAATAATTATCTTTCCACAGATCATCCAATAAATATGTTATCTATTATTCATTATCTAGATAAAATTTCAAATAATTTATTCGAATAACGCCCAACACTGCGCCAAGGTCATCGTTTACAAGACAATTATTCACTCAACAGTCACTTACGACAGTGAGACATGGGTCCTGACAAAGGAGATGGAGAAAAGACTATTCACCTGGGAAAGATACTAAGAAAAATATATGGACCAGTCTACTCTGATGGAGAGTAGAAAATTAGAAAAAAACGAAGATTTAAGAGCATTGTATGATCAGCCAGACATAGTAAGTATAATAAAAAAGGGAAGGCTGAGATGGTTCGGGCATGTGGAGCATATCAAGGAGGATCGTCTTCCAAGTAATCTACTTCTTGAAAAGTCGGATGATACCCGAAAGCGTGGACGTCCCAGAATAAGATGGCTGGACAATGTTGAGGGAGACCTGTGCCAACTTGGAATTAAAGGATGGAGAGCAGTCTAACCAGCCTGGCATGCAATCTGCGATGAGGCCCATGCCCTTCAAGGGCAGCAGCGCTGAATATTATTAGTATTATAGTACATTTCCTCCCTGTAGACAGTACCTGGCCAAACTCCCTCTTCCAGGGTAGCTTCCTACATGAGGTGATTCTAGGATGTATACTACAGGGGATTTTTATCTGTAGTGTGCTGAATATTGTGTACTCTGGGTATGTCAGTGTAAATGTTCCCATAACCTGGAGGACCAGTGGATGTTTGCATCCTACTGGCTTGGCAATCGGGTCACCAGTACCCTATGCCAAGACAATGAATCACTAGAAAAAAATATTAACAATAATAAATAATAAAAGGCTTAGCGAGCCCAAAGGTTCGATGCCGACACCAAAAATCGAAAAAGAAATATTAATACAATAAAAAGTTTATTAACAAATATTTATGAAAAATACCTAAATTCATCCTGATGTAATGTCATTGGAATAGCAATACATAAAGACAGTATAAAAGCAATTACATAGCCAGCCATTTGGCTTAATAATATGACATTATTCAAAGCCATCTTCTACTGGACCTAAAAAAGTAATAATATGTTCATTATTTAATATAAATATTCAAAAAATTAAGGATGATACTACAGTCATCTTAATATATAATAATAACAGAACATATATTAAATAAATAAATATTAAATCAAAATTCTAACCCTTCTTCCCCTGAAGATTTCTGCACTAATCTCAATCCTTTCAAAACTTTTGGAAAGAATAATGCAATCTCAAGTTTCCAATTTCCTCAAACAGTTCAATCAACTTGACCCTTATCAATCTGGTTTTCGCACAGGTTCCTCCACACGATTCGCCCTAATTAAAATAATTAGTGATGTTCAGTCTGCTATAGATTACAAAAACTAACTGTCCTTGTACTCCTTGAACTTTCCAAAACCTTTAATACTATTAACCATTAGATCCTTTTTTCCAATATTGTTTTTCCAATACCCTGTAGGAATTCCAATATTTATTCTGTTTTAGTACCATTGAGGTCATTTGGGCAATGATGGGATCATCTTTGAATTTAATTAGGAGGGCTTATTCCCTCTTTCTTCCAAACATTTAGATATTTTAGTGATGTTATATTTTCAATCCATAAATGTTCAATAACATTTAATTATTGAGCCTGAATAGGAATTCTCGTTCATCTAGATGAATGTATAGCGGCTATTACTGTTTGTAGAAAGCTTTGAGCTAAGAATTATTACACTGGTTGATTTGAATGTTTATTCTATACTCAATTTCACCACCAACTAGCCCTAAGAGTCAAACGAAAATAACACCAGTAATAAATGAGAACTATTATGAAAACAAGTTGGATCAGATACATTTCGGAGAATATTAAAAAAAAAAAAAGAATATGGAATTAAAACCAGAGTGAATAGATAAAGGCCTCTTGTAAATTTAATGAATAAGAAAAATAGGTTAGCAACAAAGAGTTAAAGAAAAAACTTAATTTACTGCAATGATGTAATATATTCAGATGAAAACAAATTTAATATCGATAGAGTGAAGGAAAACTGGAAAGGAATTAGAGGAGTATTTGTCTGCTACAATGAAATTTGAAGGCGGTAGGGTTCTAGTCAATGTATGATTGCATGTGGAGTCAAGAATTGGGTTTTTACCGATGGAGTGATAAAGAAGTACACATGGTATCCTGTAGATAGTGGAAAATTTTTATAAGAGTGATATCATACCTAAAGATCTACAAAAAAGTTCTTACAAACAAGTTTCATATTTAATTTTATATACTTAATTAATAAATTTAAATTTAATTAAAATAGGCTAATTTTCAACAAAAAAGTAAGAAATCCAAATTTTGTGTTTTTTTTTTAAGTAAGTCGTGTTTTTCGTTGAATAGGAAGCAATAAGTAAATTTGAGTTCTACCAATGGGTAGTTTCTCTTCATGTTGTACATGTCATGTTACCAATGTCACATTTACTTATTGTATTTTCTATGTAATACAGTAGTAAATTTCATTAAAATTAAAAAAATTTACGTAATTAGCATTTACTTCACTGCAAAACTAGACAAAATTTACTTTAAATTCCAAAGTTTGCCATTATTAAAACCATTTAAAGACGACTTTTGATGGGCTAAACTAAGCTCAGTTCTTATTTAAAAAAAAAAAACATAACTTATTCACATTCTTTTTTTTATAATCATCCAACTATGCTATAGATACTCCACTATTATGAAAACTTCTTCCTTTGGTAAGCTTTAAGTCTGTGTTAATCAAGTAGAGGTTTATTAGGAAAAATTTGAGATTCACTTCAAGTTGTGTAAAAAAAAATATATGATTTTTTTATCCTATTAAGTAAAATTATCCCTGTTTTCAGCAAAAATGAATACAATTATTTGTTTTAAAGATTATATTTCTTGTTTTTTTAATGTTCTTGGATGTATTACAATAAACATAATTGCCTAAATATATTTTCATTTATAAAAAAAATAAATGAAATAAATAATTTAGTCTGTCCACGCTTGTTGATAAAACAGCCCTGATGAAGACCTGCAAAGTCGGGTTGAAACGTCGGCTTTCAATAAAATAGTTTTATCACTATTTAGCCTATTTATAACCGCAACCTTGGACTACCTTCTTCCTTTATAATGCAACGGTCAACTATTAAATATTCAATAAAAATAAATAAATTTGGAAAATCAGTATTTTTCAAATATTTATCCTCTAAAGTGTTTATGACACTGTTTTCATCCATATATGTATTATAGGAATTGATCCCTATTTATAAGAGACAAATAAAATGATCCTGATCCTAATATTAACGTTTTCATGAAAATAATTGAAGCAATTAGTAGGTTGTTTCTTTTAGGACTAGAAACATTTATTTTCTCACTTATAAATAATCATAAATTTCTATAATACATCCTATAATACCTATAGATCTGGGTAAAAAACACAGTTCATAAACACTTGAAATAAAAAATATTTGCAAACTTATTATTTTTGATTTTTTTCTTTTTTAAAATAAAAAATATATTTAGGCAATTATGTTTATTACAATGCATTTCAGAATAAATAAAAACAAGAAATAAAAGATTTACAAAGAATAATTGTAGTCATTTTTATTGAAAACAGAGGTACTTTTACATGATAGGATAAAAAAATCATATATGTTTTTTACACAACTTGAAGTGCATCTTAAATTTTTTCCTAATAAACCTCAACTTAATTAATACAAACTTTAATTTTATTAAATGAAGAAGTTTTCCTAAAAGTGGGGTATCTGTAGTATAGTTGGATGATTATAAAAAAAAAACTGTGAATAATTTATGATTTCTTTTTAAACAGAACTTAGCTTAGTTTAGCCGCACAGAAGTCTTCTTTAAATGGTTTTATTAATGACAAAATATATTTTTATTTACAGTAAGTTTTGTATAGTTTACAGTGAAGCAATCATTAATTACTTACATTAAATATTTCTTTATTTATCGATCCCTTTTCCACAAAAAACACGACACCTAAAAATCACAAAACTTAGATATATTACTTTTCTGCTGAAAATTGGAACATTGTTTATATAAGCTTTTTTGTAGCTCTTAGGGTCTGTTATCACTCATATAAAAATTTCCCTCTACTAATAGGACACCCTGTATATTTAAAATGAATGGAAAGGAAATTTAAGGGCAGGTAATAGCAAAAATGGGTATTATACAAATGAACATTTAACTCCTATTCAAAGTCAAGATTTGAATCTCATCAAACATTTTTAGATTTGTGACGTTTTACTGTTCAGTAATAAAAATACAACGTCACTAAAATATCTTGAAATTAAATTGTTTAATGAATGGTGGAATATTATGCCACAATTGAATTTGAAGATGATTTCATAAAAACCATGACTTAAAATGGTACTGAAAAACAAAGGGCTACATTCAAAATATAATTTTAAAAAATTGGAGTAAAATAAATAAGTAAATTATTATATAACATGAATATGTACGAAGACTTTTGCTGCATTGAAATTCTTGTTTTATACTTAATGTTTATTTAAAATATATTTATTTATTGTTAGGCAAATATTTTTGAAAAAATTAATAACAGTGGTATTGAAGTTATACATAGACAATTAAATTAATAAATATGTAGAAAATAATTGTTTTTTAATGATTTTTCATTGCATGTATGAAAACTTGCTGGCCACTTTATCTGAACTTACATATTTTAAGATATTTTCATACAAAGAGAATTAATCGTTTAAAAATCAGAATAATTTGGCAATTTTTAAAGCAATAATGAGACATGCATTTGCAATATAAAAATACATAGAAGAATTTGGTTCCGGGATAGAAAACAAGAATCTTGAGCTTACCCACACTGCCTCAAAAAAGATTCCGTACAGTAAGTTGTTCTTTGACATAGTTAATAATTTATTGATTATATTATTTTTATTAATGAAATTAATGTTGTACAGTTAAAAGGCAAGCTAATCGAGTTTCACTAGTTCAGAGAAAAGAGAATGGCTGCTCTGTAGTTTTCCCAAAAAGGAAAATCCCAAAGTGGAGAGAGACAAAGGTTTTTGTTTTGCCAAGCAGTTGATGTTTGAAGATCTTGTTTGGCAGGGAGAATAGTTGTTTGGAATTACAAGAGAGAGGATTTCCCAGGATGCTTGAGTTGAGTAGGATAGTGATACCATTTTGGGATATGTGTTTGGCAGAACATAAGAAAATGTGTGAAGACAAATGAATGCAGTGCCACAAAGAAAGAAACATTGTATATAGAAAAAAGGTTAGCTTGTCAATTCATACTTGACTTTATTTTAAAACCAGTGTTTAATTTTAGTATAAATAGTGTAAATAATAATAGTTTGTCTGAGTTGATCTGGTTTTCAGTAACCCATACCTGAGATAAATAAATATATTAATACTCTCATAATTTTGATTATTATTTAATAACCTCTTATTTATTTAAAAAGTATCCTAATAGTATTAAAATGATCTTCCGAGGTTATATTATCATTATTTGTAAAATATAAGAGAGATGTTACAGTATTTTATTATTCTGGGACTGTTGTTCCATTAGAACAAATTATAAGTACACAATGCATGTCTGTGTGGTCATACATTTTTTAATAACTTGTTTATTGATAAATATTACAATCTGTCACAATTATGGACACTTATAATCAACTCTAATGTTATGACTACTACCCTGAATTCCTGTCACATCAACGTACAATCCCTTATTGCACACTACGATGAATTCCAGAAATATTTCCTTGACAATTTTTACCACATAATAGCAGTATCTAAAACCTGGTTAAAACCGTTTATTCTATCCTCCCAGATTTCCGTACCCGATTATATGTTCCTACATCACGATAGATATCATCGCACGGGAGGTGGTGCCGGATTATATATCCATGACAGTCTTAAGGCCAAAATGCTCCTGCAGACTCCTTATCTTGATTTTCCTCACAAAGAATACATGTTCGTTGAAATTTCTTCTATTTCCTTTCCTCTGTTGTATGTCGTAATTTACCGCCCTCCTTGTATTTCATTTGACTACATCTTTGAATCTTCCCTTATTGACCTGGTTTCCAACTACACCAATATTATCATCACTGGTGATTTTAACGTGAACATGCTTTCACAATCTCCCAAAAAATACTTCCTTACTGACCTGCTGTTTTCTGTTAACTTTCACCTTGTACCTTATTCTCCTACCCATCACACGCAATGTTCTAACACTTCTATATATTTCTGATTCTCCCATCAAAATCCTTTCCTCATCTGAACATCCCATTCCATTTCTTTCATCACATGACCTGATCCAAATTACATACAACCTATC